CTTGTATCCATGACTCTAAGGTCTTACCCACCCTTCCTATTACCCTTTTCCACTCCAGTCCAAGCATAACCATTCACAAATTCATTTCCCTAGCTGTGGTGCTAGAGAAGAGTATTGAATGTACCATGGACTGCCAAGAAAACAAACTCCTAGAGAGGGTTAAACTGGGCTACTCCTTGGAGGCAAGGATTCTGGGGCTTCGTCTGACATACTTTGGACATGTTGTAAGGAGAGACAGGTCCTTGGAGAGGGACATCATGCTTGGTAGGGTAGAGGGACAGCGCAGGAGGGGAAGACCCTCTATGAGGTGGATTGATTCAGTGACTGGGGTAATCAGAATGGGTGTGTCAGAGGCAATGCAATTGGCACAGGACAGAGCAGGGTTTAGGGCTGTTGTACATAGGGTCGCTATGAGTCACAAACGACTCCATGGCACATAACAACAACAACAACAACAGGTACCATTACCCATCCCACATCCCACATGGAAACGTATAGGAACGCAACATTTCCTAAAGGATAAAAACAGGCCAGTAACCTCTAGGTATCTAGACACCAAACAGATTGTCTAGATTTTGTGTTCAAAACTTACCCACAGGAAGTCTCTCCCTGACAGACTTTTCTCGACCTCTTTCTCAAGATGTGTCACAGAGTGTGTCAGCCCATCTTAAGATTACATTTTCAGGGACCATAAAGATCTATCCTTCTTGGGCATGTCCCTGACAACATGTCTGTCCGTTTGCCATCCCCAGAACTGCAGGTTTTCAGGGACCCTCGTCTTAGCTCCCAGTTGCCTAGCCAATTCTCAGCTATATGCACACTGGATAATAACCACTGAACGGTCTGGACAGCACTTCTTCATCTTTCACCCTGGACACAAATATAGAGTCAGTGTTTCACGAATGAAGATCTTCATGAATTCTCAACAAACACAGCTCTCCTGTCTCCACACTCAGCAAGCACAGACTGGTTCCTTCGCAACTTCTTGGAAACGCCTTGCACAGTCTGGAAGGCAGTAATAAATTTACTTGTAAAGTGTTTAACCAGCTCGCCAGAAAACGAACAAAATGCGTCCCTGACATGTAGCATGTGCTGGTTCTCATGGTGCAGCAATTCCTGTCAGGACTGATTCCGAGCTACAACCTGATGCCAATGAGCATGGACTTGGAAAGAGAGTCACACAAGTGGCTTCCAATTTACTATGGTGAGCTGACCCTGTCATACAACCGTCGTCGGAAAAACAAGTTCATTTTCCTCTTTAAATACTTTTATTTCTTTCTCTATCATAGGCTCCAGTCTTTCATTCATAGGGTCACTATGGGTTGCCTATGACTCGACGGCACTTAACAACAACAACACTAGCATAGAGAGAGGTCAGGTGCATATAGCAGGCAGAAAGTGATGCTACCAAGCCAAAGGTGGGTGACTCTACTGCAGCCCTCAGGCCTGTCTTCAATTGTTTTCAGTTAAACATTCTTCTAGGTGGTATGGCCCTGGCCTGTGCATTTGCTTTACAGAGGCAACTCGTGGTTGTTGTGATGCTGAACACTGTGACACTGATGTGTCAAATGCGATAATGGTTACCCATGGCGGACAGTGTTTGGTGGAGCTCCCTGATTAAAACAAGCTTGGAAGCAGGAGTGGCATCCACTCCCGTAAATAGCTTGTCTCCAGAAACCCTATGAACCTGGAGAAAGGATGAAAGTTATACCAGTGTCCAGGTCTTTCATTCATAGGGTTGCTATGAGTTGCCTACAACTTGACGGCACTCAACAACAACAATAACAACAACATCATAGACTCCTAATAAATTAAGCACGTACGCGCGTGCATACACACGCAGACACACACACACACCTCTTTCCTACAAGGATTTCCTCCTTAAGGGAGCTCAGGGGTACAGTTTTAGGAAGTTGCAGTGTGAATCTACCCGCTGCTCTGAGAGGCAAAGACAGACAAGCTCCCAGTGTTAAAATCTGCAGCCTTCGAAACCACTCTGTTAAGAGTTATTTCTGACCCCACGACAATAAGTCTGAGTTTTGAGAGATCTTTGACTCCCTTAAGGTTCAGAAAAAAGGTATCGCCTTTGTGACACGACTTACTCAATCGTTACCACCCCTACAAAAACAGAGCTCACCACTCCCCTGCATTGGCCTGAAGGAAAGAATAAGACCAGAAGGAGGGAGGGATGATAAATAATTTCTGATTCTTCCTTCTCATGTTTGCTCAACATTTTGCAACCCAGCTTTGAAGCCTTACTCTAAATTTACTCCCAGGTGATGTAAAGAAACAGTGTCAGTTATGTTGTTGTTGTTGTTGTTGTTATGTGCCATCGAGTCGCTTGCGACTCATAGCGACCCTATGTACAACATCTCTAAACTCTGCTATGTCCTGTGCCAATCACACTGTCTCTGACACTCCCATCCCGATTACCCCAGTCACTGAATCAATCCACCTCATAGAGGGCCTTCCTCTCCTGCACTGTCCCTCCACCCTCCCAAGCATGATGTCCCTCTCCAAGGACCTGTCTCTCCTCACAACATGTCCAAAGTATGTTAGACGGAGCCTCAGAATCCTTGCCTCCAAGGGGCAGCCCGGTTTAACCCTCTCCAGGATGAATCTGTTTGTTTTGCTAGCAGTCCATGGTATTCTCAATACTCTTCTCCAGCACCACAGCTCAGTGTCAGTTATACACAGTATAAATCTCACCTTACAAAACTCCTTTTCTGGTTTGTTACTTAACACAGAAAGAAAGAAAAGAATCCTTTGGTGTGCTGATCACACAAACAGCAAACCTGACCTCCACACTAACTCTTTTAACACAAAGTAAATGAAGTCAGTCTTGATGAGGGCCGAGTGTGAGCGGAAGTGGTGACAGAGCCGAGACGTGGTGGAGAATGGAGGAAGACAGACTCCAGCCAAGTGTGTCTTCTCTTGAAATTGGACCGTTAAACACAGTGAATCAACATCCGCAAGGATTATCAGTTCTGGGATGCTCTAAGTCACAAGATCTGGGTGTCTAATAGCTTATGGTCAGCAGTGACTGGGCAGAGCTCCAAGTGCATCAATAGTTCCCTTATATGTGAGTCATAGAACTGACCTGGAACCTCCTCTAGGCGCAATGTCCAAACAGTGTTGCACAGAAATGAAAGGTGAAGGATGGGGCAAAATCATCAATTGTCTCTTTAAAGGCACCTAGGGGTTGACGAGCTCACCCCGCAACTGCAACTCCCCAGCAGGGTCATAAAGTGAGAAGGCTCTTTACTCATCCTCTGACAAAGGCAGAGAGGGAGTTGATGTGTGCTCTCTGGGATGAAATGCATTCCAGAAACACTGCTCTGAGCACACGACATAAATAACAACATTCAAATCACCGGCGTCATTATCACACGCCCTCATAACAATTCATAATGAGAGGAGACAGGCTGCGGGGCTAAAAGCCCACCTCCCAAATACCTTGTTGAGTTTCCAGGAGAAAGCTGAGCCCCTAAAAGTCATTTAATTTATCTGGTAGCCAGCCTTCCAAGACATGATCCTTAAATATGTCAGCGTCTGAGGAGGAAGAGGAAATTATCTGCACAGAAGTGAAAGTCGTGGTCCAGTAACATACTTAATGAAAGTCAATGGGAAATATGTATAGACTCATGTGGATCAGATTATGGGCAGTGGGCTGAAACGCCTGGGGAGCTGGCAGGAGGACAGTGAAGAGACCTGACTGGGAGGGTCCCAGCACCCACCACAGTCAAGCTGTTGGGTGAACTGACAGCACTAACAGAGGGAAATGAGAGCACGAAAAAGGAGCCCTAATGGGGCAAACGTTCAAACGTGACTTCCAATTTCACAGATGGCTCTTTGACCCCTCTCAGCATTAAAGAAGCAATGACTGGAAGGATGGTGACGTTCTCCCTAAAGATAATTTATGAACTGGCTGGCTGTGAGCCTTTGACGAAGCATGCTTTCTTGAGCGAAGCCATAACTGACTCTATAGTCCCAGAATATTTACATGAATAAAGCCCTGCCAGACCTAGGAGTGGAAGGGACTGGCTGTGGGAAGACTGAACAATGGTTAATGAGGATTTCAGGGGAGAAGACAAACAAGAGTGTGAAGAAAAGACAAACAGGGAACGGACACAAAGCAAACACATTTTCATTTAAGAAAATTCAAGGGAGGTAGTGGCAGAGGCAGTAAAGAGATTACTCTGAAAGTAATGGTGTTTTTTAATGTTTTTATCTAATTCACATTAAATAAGGCTGGGTCCATTACAACTTTGACACAGCCAGGAAACCATAAGGAAAGATGAAAATTATAGTCTGTAGACATGATTTGCTGAGGTCCTCTTGGGTGGTTCTATGCTGGACTGGGTATCTATTTCACCATAATAAAACGGGTGAAGGAATACATATTTATCGAGTGTGAAATTTATTTTCTGTTGCCATCTATAGCCTAGATCTTTTGCAGCAAACATAGCTACTGGTGGGTGGACTTTCAGGAGGAAACAGAAACCTTCCTTTCAGTTATCATGATCTATCTCCCATCGCATGCCAGTATGAGAATGGATTAATAGAATATATGGGAAGAAACTTTGGTTCAAAGCTATTGGGATATCATTATTGCAAGCAGGATACTAGGTACAGCTTTCAAAAAATATGTGTTTCCTTCTACGGCTGCCTATCCAAGTACTTTATGTGCCTCCCCTTATCTGAATTTGGTGGTTGAGTCCCAACACTTGATTCAGAAAAGAATCTTTTAAAACTCCTGCCGACCTCTCTGACCTCTCTCAGCCCAGCTCAGCCATCAGGAGCAAGATCCCCAAGCATTTCTGAATGAGTCTCTACCCTAGATAACTCTGTGCGGATGGTTCACACGCATCTTCTAGAGACAAAACAGGGCAGACATAGCTTGTGGTGACTTTTTAAATGAAAAGAGAACACTGGGAGTTTTGGGGAAGATGATCTCTGGACACCAAGAGGACAGACACGAGGGGAAGGGAGAGGCGTACCTGCTCCGATGACCTCTTCAATTTTCACAAAAGATACATCAATCTCCTTGGCAAACTCCCGCACAGCTACATTTGGATCCTCATAAGTGAAGGGGTCAATGTAGATCTTCATCCCTGGGGAGCCTTGTTGGAGGAGATAAGCAGGGTTAACATTCCAAAGAGCTCATGACGCTCTTGAACACTCAGCACGTTCTTGGGAGGCCCTCTCCCATCCACCAGGCTGCATCCTTCCTCTGCCCCTCTGTCCTACCTTGTTTTGCTGGACCTCCCCATCTCCCTTGGCCCTTGGGGCCGCTCTACCCTGGTCCTCTGTCCTCTACTTCCCCTCTGTATTTTCTTCTCTCTTTTGAGTTCTTGATAGAACATGGAGCAGATCACTTATAAGTGACAGATCGGGACCGGTTCCCACATCAGCTCTCACAGAAGGCCAGGAAGCTGATTGATGCCAACGGAATGCATTAGCGGGAAAGTGGTGGTAAAATGGCAGGGCTGATATCAATATTTATCAACTTGACAACTTTCCTGAGTGGAGGCCACTTGTAAGGTTATAATTGATGGCTGTGGTCCAGGGCTAGAAGAGGAATGAGGATGGTTTGAGAAGAAATAAACACAAAGAAAGAAAGAAATTGTTATTGGGAAACTATCAAGATGAAAGTGCCAGAGAAGTAGAGGAGAAGAGAAAATGTGAAGAGAAAAGCTTGGAAAAGTAAAGAGCAAAATCTACATAAAACAAATGAAGTGAAAAGAGAGAGGGAAAAAAAAATAATTGAGTCCCCATGCCTTTAGATACACTGAAATATCAAATAAAATGGTGGAAGAGAATTACAAAAAGGAATATATATTTTGTCCCTAAAGCACACAGTGTCAAGATGAATAGGTGTGTGTGTGGACAAAGTAGAGAACTGTCATTGCAGAAAAAATACATTGAAAGAGCAGAGATGGGGGTAGAAATAGTAATCAGAACCCAGGAAACAAATGGATTCGCTCACAAGGTAATTTTTCACCATGTGGGAAGTGTCATTAGGCAAAGTACAGAAACTCTTCGTGTGGTGGTGGGGTTGTGAAAAAGAGAGGGGGGCTTTGAAAGCCAAACAGTGTGGCCTCTGTAGTGCATCCTGGTGCTCAAAAGGAGTTTTGCCTGTCAGCGTGCTGTCTGGCTAAAGAAAGTTACATCGGTAGAGCAGGTACTGGGAAAATATGGAACTGCTCCACGCCTAGTCATTGGGGCCAAGACATGAGGATGGTTTGAGAAGAAATAAACACAAAGAAAGAAAGAAATTGTTATTGGGAAACTATCAAGATGAAAGTGCCAGAGAAGTAGAGGAGAAGAGAAAATGTGAAGAGAAAAGCTTGGAAAAGTAAAGAGCAAAATCTACATAGAACAAATGAAGTGAAAAGAGAGAGGGAAAAAAAAAAGAGAGAGAGAGGGGAAAAAAAGAGAGAGGAAAAAAAAAATCAGCCATGAGGAACGCTACAGATGCACACAGGAGCTCTGAGTCTGAAATGACTCAGCAACTGGCTGGAGTGCTCTTGGTTAACTTGGCGATGACAATGACTTTGAATGTTCTGACTGAAAATGAAACAAACCAAATAACCCCTCACTTTGATGATGATGGTGTACTGTTGGGCTGGAACTGACCTATAGCTGATCCTCCAGCAGGTTTTCAGATACAGTAAATCGCAGGGGAGGAGACAGCCCATCTATCTCCTGCACAGTGTCTGATGGATTTGAACCATGAATCTTTGGGTTGGCAATACAATTTCTCACCACTAAGCCACCAGAGTTCCCTTTTCACTTTTTGGTTTGTTTGCTTGGTTTTTGTTTGTTTTTTTCTTTTTTTGTGTGCACTGTTAGATCGGATCTGACTGGTACAAGAGGAGATTGTCCCTCCTTCTCCAGCAAAGTGTCTGGTGGATTCGCACCATGTACCTCTGGGATTGCAGTGAAGCCTCTTAACACTAGGCCACCAGAGCTCCTGAGTTCCCTTTTCACTTTTATGATAGAATTTTTAAAACTGTGAGTAATGTAAAGGGAGTGTGTGTGTGTGTGTGTGTGTGTGTGAGAGAGAGAGAGAGAGAGAGAGAGATGGGGAGAAAGGGAGGGAGAGAGGGAGGGAAGGAATGAGGAAAGAAGAGACAGAGAGAGAGAGAGAGAGAAGGAGAACAATGGAGAAAGAGCTTTGGTGGCCTAGTGATAAGAAGCCAAGCTTCATTCTCAAAGACACACAGTCCAAATCCACCAGCTACTCTGCAAGGGAAGGAGGGACAATCTGTTCCTTGGGATTTACAGCCTCTGAAAACCCAGTGGTCAGCTACGAGTTGGTTCTGACTTGAGGGTATATAGTAACAATGACAATGGAGAAAGTGGAAAAGGAGATATGGGGGAATTGATAAGTAATTTTCTCTTTCATATTTCCTACCTGAGAACAACTGAAGAGCAAGAAGTAATAAGCTTTTAAAGTCTCAAGGCAGCTGCTCTCTTAGTTTGGGTCCCCCCAGAAAGAAATCGTGAGACAAGTAGTTTAGCTGGGAAATAACTCCACATAGTAACTGTAGGTAAGAGTGAAGAAGACAGGGAAAGAGACAACCAATACAAGGAATGCTCTCAAGCCACTGACTACTGCGGATAATTTAAGTAGGCACAATCCCACGGAGGCAGTATGGGATGTGGAGAAGATCACGTGTCTCAGAGTTGGCCAACTAACATCTTTGGACAAAACGACTTCCCACAAGTCACTGGTTGAAGAGGCTTGGCTAGCTATGTGGGGGAGTGGGTGGCTCCAACATCAGGAAGTGAAATGCAGAGGCTGCAAGTGGAGACAGGCCAGAGAGTACAGAAGTAGGGAGCGTCAGAGAGAAGAGACAATGGCAAACCCACACAAAATGCAGAAAGGGGAGCAGGTCATAGTTAATACTTCGTGACCTTTCTCAAATTCCCTGCTTTTCAAGAAAATTTTTTAATCATGTTTTTTATTAATTTTAATGAAAATTTACAGAGACTTTGGATTTCCATTCATTCATTGTTGCACTTTTCTCCCTGCTCACCCCTCCCCTCCAATACTCTCCTCTCCTTGAAAAGTAAAGGAAAAGTTCTTTCATTGTTTTACAATCCCTCCCCCCAGGTCCACTCCCCTATGCAGCCTTCATTCCCTGCTTGAGGAATGCCAGGGAGGAGAGGGTGTGAAGAGCCCTGATGTTGGGACCCACAGGTGAGTTCAGAATCTGCTCTTGTTGCTAGAAGATTCTAACTCATAGTGACGCTAGGTTACAGAGTAAAACTACTCCACAGAGATTTTTAGGCTGTAATCATCTTAGGAAAGGAAGGCCAGATCCTTTCCCCTAAGGATCTGAAGACTGGGTTCCAATTGTCAACCTTTAAGTTAAGGGCTTAGCCACTGCACCCCCAAAGTTCCCACAGAGCCTTTAACTAGACCTGCAAAATGGGGCAAGTGTGTCTATCTGACTTGTACTAGTTTTCTCCTTTGTCAGTGGAAGAGCTGCTTGTGCTATTTCCCCCCAGGGAACCCTGAGATTTAAGAACATTAGCACCTTGCAAGGTGCCCGATGCACAGTGAAGACCTGCTGACTAATACACTCATTACTATTATTATCATCAGTAAATTGTTCAAGGAATTGTTTGAGGAAGTAGGAAAGGGAAGTGAGACAGGACTGTGAGGGATATAAGCAGCTTAGGGTTATATCCATTACTTTAAAAAGAACTCCCTTGTTGTCTCAGATCACGGGCCTTTAAATGATGTGTGCTAAGCTCTCCTCCAGGAACTCTTCCATGGAAACTAATTAAACAATCTAGACTGTACTGTAATGAACAACTTCTGAGTTAAGACATAGATAAGGATGAATAGGAAAGGTTTCTGAGCTAATGAGCTTTCCAGATATTGGTCCCAATCCGTCTAGGACAGGAGCTATTCCCAAAAGGGAGATGGATTCAACCCTTGGTGGAGCCAGGGTTCCTTCAGGCTGGTAATACACAGCTAAGTGCACCCAAACGGGAGAGAGTCCACACATCAATGATGAGCTCATTTACTCACAAGGACAGGTGAACTACTCTGCCACCTGAAGTGTGCATGTGGGCGGGGCGTGTGCCTACCTGCACGTGTGTGATGTGCCAACTGCTGTGCTGGGGAAAATTAGTGCCAACGAGGCCGTTTTATAAGAAGCTGAGGAAACTGTAGGACCTAGGACTGGTGGTGATATAATGTCAGTTGGTTGTTGTTGTTTTGTTGTTGTTGTTGTTAGGTGTCATCGAGTTGAGCACGACAGATAGCGATCCTCTGAACAACAGATCTGAACCCTGTCCTACCCTGTGCCATCCTCATCATCTCTTACACACTCGGGCCCACGGCCACAGATAGTGTGTCTGTCCATCTGCTTGAGTGTCATCCTCCCTTTCTTTGACCCTCTTCCTTTAAAGCATGATGGTCTTCTCCAAAGAACAGTGCCTTCTAGCAACAGGACCAAAGCACGTGAGAAAAAGCTTCTCTGTCCTTGCCTCTAAGGAGCAGTGTGGCTGCCTGGTGCTTCCTTCATCAGGAATCCCTGGAAGGTTCAAATGGGAATGCTAACTGCAAGGGTGAAGGTTCAAGTACATCCCAGGGGTGGGAGAGAAAGGGAAGGGGTGGAAAAAGGAGCTTTGAAAATCCCAATGAGTATGATCTCCCTCTAACACGCACGAGGTTGTCAGGAATCATGTTGGATTCTCCATCAACGGTAAGGGTCAATTAAGGTAAGGTGAATTAATTAAGGGTAGAGGTAAACTACTACAACGGAGCAGCGGGTTTAGCATTCACCTCCTTACCAAAAAGGTAATGGGCAGAACCCACCAGTTGTTTGGCGGGAGAATGAGTCAGGTTGCTCTCATAAAGCCTTTCAGTCACAAAGGGATAAATACTGCAGAAGCCCATTTTTGTAATAAAAGGATCAAGATGGCATTGGGGAGAGGTGAAGAGCAAGGAAAGAATGGACGGATACACAAATATTGCACTGGAATGAGGGAAAGGAACACCATTCTGAAAGAAATAGATGCTTGGAAACCACATTTCTATGATGATTATGTGGTAAGAAGCTGTGCTGCAATCCCAAAGGCACACAGTTTGAATCCACCA